CAACATGAAACGGCTTGGGATTCGTTTTAAAAACGACTCGTTTCAATGATTCAGATTCAACTCTTTCTTTTGACAGACAATAACTGTATACACGGTGCACTTTCAGATTTAAAACTTTGCAGGATGTTTTCATTCACTTAGAGCTGTGTTACACACTGCACGAAAGGCACTTTTCAAAAATCCATAATAGGGGCACTTTAAGGAGCAATTCTCACTATTAACTAGCATGCATTTTACTGTTTATTAGTATTTATAAAGCATTTAATAATGCCTTATTCTGCATGACCATATTTAAGATCCCTTATTCCTAACTTAACAACTACCTTACTAATGTAATTAATAAAATTAAGAGTTTATTGAGGCAAAAGTCATAGTTAATAGTGAGAATTGGACCTTAAAATAAAGTGTGGCTAGACTTTTTTTTTGCTGTTGTCATAATTTCCAGTCAAAACACATTTTGCACTGCATGAGCTGGAGTTGCTGCAGGTATATTTAACCTGTTAGATATCTCTTGGGCACATAACATGCTAACAGCAAACTCTACTGAAATCAGTTAGGTGCTACATGTGAAGAGCATTATTTGCTGCCTATGTAGGGCACTTATGATGTTTCATTTCACTTAGCATACTGCCTCAAATGGAAGTTTCCTGTGTAGGCGTCTGACAGCAAGGCAGCTTCTTAAGTTTTGGAACACAGCCATAGCGTTACATTCGAAACAAGGTTTCATCAGTGTGTGATTGATGATGTACTATCAGGAAAACAAAGGGCGAGAGCGAGATCTTTACACAGGAAATTACTGCAGAAGGGCATTGTTTGAAGAAGTACAGATTACTTCAGAGTTAGGGCGGCTGAGGGTGCTGATGTCAAAGACTCTGACAGCTTAGCAGAGAGAAGTTTGCTCTTGCAAATCTACTTTTTGATAGAAGTTCTCTGAGCAGTGTCATGCACTTGATCCTTGCCACTGTCCCAGTGATTATCCTCTAAGCTGTATATGTGACTTCCACGTTGTGATGCTTTTGTATTGAACCGTGTAGTGACTTAACTGTAATTTAAGTCGTTAATTCTATAAGGGAATTAATCATTCATTTTATTTCTAGCTCAGGTTTTGAAAGCACTCGAATCTGAAAATTCTGAGTCAACCTGATAAAACCTGTTTCACAAGACAGAGACCTTAAAACTGACTGCTGCAAAAGGAACAAATGTGGGTAAAAGAATTAAAGTTAGCTGAGTTTAAACAGCTTGTACATAAATTTGAGATGTGTGGACCACTTTGACAGAGCACCGCACCAAATCCTTAGGGCGTCTTGCCTGTGTAAAGCAGTCAAACTGTCAGAAGCTGAGAAGCAGGGAGAATTGAGTTGACGAAAAGTGAGGTGTGAGGACATAGCTCATATATTATGGAAGATGGCAGCACTCAAGGCATGTCCCAGAACTTTTCTCTTAGTGGTGTGGCTTTATCTCGACCGTTCTATAGTATGCAGCTGGGACTCCACTGTAAATCTTTCTGATATTGCTTTTATTGCAATTCTCTGTTTATTTTTTTTAGGGATGCTCTGGTCAGGATTTTTTAAGCCAGTACTGATTACCGATTTCCCATCTTCAGAAGCAGCTGATACAATAGTATAAACAATATTATCAACCAATAATATATTAATAGTTGGATATATAGTATTTCCAACTTTACCTGCATACATACAGTATCTCATACAGCAATGCATACCATTGTACATACTACTCTGTATACAGTGATACAGTATATTACAATATTAGCACATCTCAGCTGCTTGATTGCTTGTATCTTTACAAAATCTAAACTATATTATAGTCCAGAACTTATCTGCTAAACGCAAGTCATGAAGATATTCATAATGATTAAAAGCATTATGATTTTCTGTGAAGCTTATTTGAAACAATGTTTATTTTGAAAAGCTCTATACAGATACATTGACCTGACTTCACTGTGCTCAAGCAATGCCATGATTTTTAAGCCAGAATATTTTTTTTTCCCCCATTGAGGGTTTGAAAGCATTTCTGCATTTTCTAGAGACACTGTAATATTCTATAATGTGTGCGTAGTATGTGAGTTTTATTTATATATATTGTTCTCACCACGTTTTTCTAAGGTCCATTTTATTCTTACCATTTTTTTTTTAATCCTTAGAAAAAATAGCTGCATAAGACATATTTAGTAAACAGAAATAAACATCTCAAATCCTTCCTTCTTAATTTAATTCATACATGTAACAAGTAACACATTTGCACCAGCCAGTTCATCATGGGCATGATGTGTATACCTTGCAACAGATGTATCAGGAGTTATAAAAAATTAACTGCATAAATAATAAATGCTACTTCTGGACCATGTAGTATATGTTATTTTATTTGTGTGATAAAAGTGATGAAATAAACAAAAACGTCTCAGGTTACTTATGTAACCATGGTTCCCTGAGTAGGGAACGAGACACTGCGTCCTCTAGGGGTTGCTATGGGGAACGCCTCGTCGTGACCCGTGTCTGAAGCATACATTGAAAAAACACCAACAACACGTTGGCCGGCGACAGCCCATGACGTCACTACCGGTCCGACTATTAGTATAAATAGGCGCCGGGAGAACATGTCATTCACGTCTTCGTCTGAAGCTTGCGTTCGAAGCATGGCAGGAAGCTAGAGGACGCAGTGTCTCATTCCCTACTCAGGGAACCATGGTTACATAAGTAACCTGAGACGTTCCCTTTCAAGGGAACTTCGAACTGCATCCTCTAGGGGTCGCTATGGGAAGCGTACTGCAAGCTAGCCAAAAAACTCAGCGCATCAGAGAGGCGGAGTGAAGGGCCTATGTTCACCTGATGCTGCTGGTTCCAGGTGCTCTGGGAAAAACACGTGAGAGGAGAACTCCGAATTCAGAAAGAATAGCGCGCTCATAGGCAACCCTTTGGAAAAGGGGAGCACTGCTAATATTACCACGAGAGTAGCCCACGGAGCGAATCCAGGCGCTTGATAGGAAGCAGCATGCTCATAGTAACCCTCAATGGTGAGGGGAGCGATACTTCCAAGTGTGTCAAATT